AGTTCCCATCGACCTAGGTCAATAATGAATTGAAAACCATGACAACAAACCGTATTTTCATACAATAATGTTTCATGTGCTTGTATACAATATTTATAGATACAAGGACATAAAATATTATTGTATGAAAATATATTTAATATACAGGGTGTCCCAGAAGTCGCCCACCACCTTAAAGGTGTATGATCTACGGCCCTCAGAAATTCCAGGCTTAAGGTAGCGACTTCAAATAGACCAAAATATTTAAAGGAAGTATGGACCCTTTTAAAAAAATTTAAATAATGTATTTTATTTTTATATTTTATTGTTTTTTTAATTATATCTTTTTAGAGGCACAAAGTGTATAAAATTATAAAAATTATTTGTACTACTATTAATGCTTTGTACTTACAACCCTATGACAAAAATCGAAAAAATTACTTTACGTATAGATTAAAATATTGACAATTTGCTTGCTAATTCGAAAAAAATATGTCTTCGGCATGCAATGTTAATAATTAAATAAATAATTTTGTGAATTTTGTTGTTTTTGCATTTAAATTGATTTTGCGTCGCAGCTGCTAGTCCGTCCGCCAACGCATCTTCAACCTAAGTAGGTACAATTAAACCAATGCCAGAAAAAATAAATCCCATACATTTCTCATTAAATTAAATTGGGATGTATACATTTTACCACCCCCTTCATTAACTCCTTTATTTATTTTTAAGTAAAATGTGATGACAATTCAATTCATTAATATTAGAACCAATAAAATGCAAGTATTCCATAGTTACGCATTTTATCACAGCGACAATATTTTTTATCACCTTGTTTATACGTTACTAAGGATTTTGACACTTTTCTTTATTTGACATTTGTGGAAATTTAATTCCTGTGTTTGTTTGTTAAATAATGAATTATAAGCTCTAAAAGATCGGGTTGGTGTAAACAATAATAAAATTAAGGCAAGTTTGAATAAATTAGGTTTATTAAAGTCTTTTTATATTTTAAAGCACAATTTAATTTTAAATGTCAAACTAACAATTCGTTAAACAATAAAATTTTTTATATTTTCTCACTAAATATAACTCGTGGTATGATTAATTATCGATGATATTTACTCATTGAAACCGAACCAGCACATTGCACTCGTCCTGCGGACTCGTGAAATCTGCAGCTCGGTTTCAATTCGAAAATATCATCGATGATAATCATACCACTTGTTATATTATGGGTGATAATAATAATAATAATAATAAATTTTATTGAACACATTTTACAAGTAGTTTCACATGTAGGTACATAATTTATTTTTCCTATTCGCACCTGATTTCATACGAAATCGTGTCGTGCTTAGATTTTAATAACAAAAACCATATTCGAGGTGTGTGTTCTTACAAGAAAAAAATTAAAAAATAAAAATTAAATATAAACTATGAATAAATAAACGAATAATAATTATACTAGGTAGATACAAATAAACAAATATTTTGAATGAATTAAATTTTATAGATATTATCTTATAAATAAATTAAATTTTGATAGTATTAAAGTTATTAATTCTCTTTAGTTCATTGGGCAAAACATGGTACACTTTCGGACCTGTTACACAAATACAGTTTTTAAAGAGTGTCGATGAAATCTTGGGAATTAGTTTAATTTCTTGTCGAGTATGTTGGGCAGTTTTTCTTAATATTGGATTTTTATAAACAAACTTAGCTACATTAAATGCATACAACTGAATAAAATCAAAGACATTGCTCTCGTGGTATATTTCAATTGTCGAAGCTGTACGTTTTTTAAATAAAATTGTTTTTAGAATTCATTTTTTTGCCACGATAATATTTTTTAAATGATTTTCATATGTCCCCCCCATATAATAATCCCATATAATATTATTGATTCCGCTAGAGATTTATATTTATAAGTGATTTTTTTGAGATAATCTCTCTTAATTTGTAAAATGAATATACAAATTTTTTAATTTATTTGCTATATACTGTGCGTGTTCTTTCCATTTTAAGTTATTATTTATTATTAAACCCAAGTAGGTACTTTACGGACTAAGCTTTTTTAACTAATCCTTGACACTGACAACCTGGCTCAAGATAAAAAATTGCATGTTACTTAATTTCCTGAAACTGTGGTTGATTTGCCATGCTGTTTGTGATAGGCATAAATTTTGTTTTGGAGAAGTTAAGACTTAATAAATTACTATCAAGCCAACATTTTACCTTATAGAGGTTATGCTCACTGTTGGTTTTTGCTTCTTTCCATTAATAAGTAAGACCGTATCATCTGCGTAGGCACAGTGGGCCTGAACCAAAAAAAGGTTGCATGAAAATGACACCGAAATCGGGCTTTGGATCTTTAAAGACTAGTATTAAAGGAGTTAAGATAAAGTGACCAGATTCTGTCAAAAAATAGAGGGACATTTTGTATGAATTTACCTTAATTACAAAATTGACACAATGATACAATGCAAATTGTAAATTTGACGTTACTTAATTATTGTTGATTGTGTCATTTTTGTAATTAAGGTTAATTTACACAAAATGTCCCGTTATTTTTTGACAGAATCTGGTCACTTTAAGTTAAGATCAAATGAAAACAAAATCGCACCTGATCCTCAATGGATAAAATCAAAGATAATACACCCCATAGATTGGAAACTCTCCCACCAATGCCCTCTAGAGCTACAATACCTGAACTATATCTATTTGTAAATTGCAGACATTTGTACAAACGCTATTTGCAAATGTCAATGTCAATCATAATTATTGATGTCGATCATAATTTTTGAATTATTAAATACATTTTTGCGCCCTAAAAGTGATAAAACGTGTTAATGGTTGTGAAATGTATTGTTGTTGGTTGCGGAAATGTAACCAATTTGTAAGTATTGACTATCCTGCCGTCCTAAGCCAAAAAGACTAATCTCGTTATTAAATTATTCTCTTAGCAAAAAAGACGCATTTTAACTATACATACATTTTTAAGTACTATATCTCCTAAAAATGTCCAATTAAATTAAACGTATCTTATGAAAAAAAATCGCTATTATTTATAAAGTAAAAATTTGGAGTTGCGTCTTTTTGGCTAAGCACGGCAGTATCGCTCTAGTGTAAAAATACTGTTTGTTAATTATGAATTATTTAGGATTGCTTGTTTAATGGTAATTTAGTCCAGGCCAAGCCCAGGCTTAGGATTGCTTGTTTAATGGTAATTTAGTCCAGGCCAAGCCCAGGCTACTTATGGTTGTTTCAAAACCAAGAGTTGGCAAGATTGATTTTTCACAGTTCACGCAAATTCCTATATGTATATGTATAAGTAGCCTGGACTAAATTACCAAATTTTGCAATATTCTCTTATTATTGAAAAATTAAGACTAATATTTTTTAGGTTTGCACTCCACAAACAAAAACATATTCATGTACACCGATTATGTATTTAATATGTACATATAGATGTATGTATTTTATTTTATATTATATTATTAATTCAATAAATAAATCTTATATTATATACCACAGAAAAAACAATATATAAAGGCACCCTACGAGTATCAACATTCAAATATGGCGCCAATATATGTTACAGAAATCTACTTCAATTTTTGGCATTGCTACGGGTATTGTAGACCTAGATGGCGTTAATTTACTTTAGCCATTTGCCGCTAGCGCTAGTGCAGTTTCCAATCTATGGGGTGTATTATCTTTGGATAAAATAGCCAATTCTTGTTTAAGTTCGGTAAAAATGATATTTTTTTATTTAATTGATTTTTTATTGTTCCCCATGTTTACAAAATTCTTTTAGATTATACTCATGTGGAGGCCATGAAAATAAATTTAAAATAAATGTCAAAGTTAATTCTTATTAATTAGTTTTGTGTCTGGATTGTTGTTGTGATTTTCACCCAGTTTTATTAAAAAAATTAAAACTAACTCTAAAATAAAATGTAGCCATGAAGAAAACAGAAAAAAGTATGTGCTGCCTGCGAAAGAAAGATTATTTTCGGAAAAACTAGCCCTTCAAAATTTCTAATTAATGAAAGAATGCAAACGTTACTGCAAAACTTCTTAAATAATAATTTTTAAATAATGGATCCCTGCTTTCCTCTTGCTATTTGCACTACTTGTCGCTTTGCCCTCACAGATCGAGAGAAAAATGTTATGAAAAGACCTTTACCGATCATTCCAAATTTTAAAGACTTACGTTTACCAAAAGCCACTAGAAGCAATGAAGAGTGCAATTGTTATATTTGCTTAACTGCGAGGTTCAAGGGACACGAAAATTTGATTAAGGGCCGAGGACACACTTGAAATCCGAATCAAGTAATTGATAAAGAAAATGGACTTAACGGCTCAAAAAATATTTCTACCACGAAGGTGGTGTAATGTACGAACTTCGTAAAATATCTATTAATCCTTTTTATTTATATTAATATATTTATAAGCTATTTTTATGCTTATTGTGTAATAACTAAATTCGTACATTTCCTCAATAATAATGCATTGACCGGACTGCGATCCGAATTGCAGAATTGCAATTATTATGTTAATTAGATATAGGTTTCAATTGTGATATATAGTTTATAAGTAACTTTTGTACGATAATCATCAAAACCCAATAAAAAAAGTAAAACGTGGGACCCAAAAATATACTTAAAAAATATCATAAGCCCAAAATTGAATACTGCGACAGATGCTTGGTCAAAATTGGTAAAGGTTCAAAGCATTGTTGCACAGCAGCAGAGACACATAAAAATGCCCTTAAATTGATCGTAAATTTACCAGAGAGGCAAAAAGAGCAAGTTATCACATCACTGGTAAGCGACAAAATTGTTAATGCAGAAAAATTCAGCGGTAAAAAACAAATTTTGCAAAATAAAACGATCAACTTAGCTACAAAAGGCTTAAGGCAACGATTGACTGTCAATAATAAAGTAAAAAAAGACGTAACATTTTCATCCGAAGGTCTGTACCATTATCAAGTAGCTTCTGGGACTTCTACTAATTAGATGAAATTGCTTACAAATTTTATACGCTGCTCTGCTGGGCGTAAGTCGGTAGCTGCCCGCTACAAAAAAAACTTGTCTACTAGATCTACGGCTCTAGAGCCTCTCTACAAAATTAATGAATTTGAGTTTGAAATAGAAGGTAAATACGCGGAAAACAAAAAAGCAAAGAGGCCGGTTGTATGGTGTGATGCTGAAGGTATATTAAATGAGGTTATTGAACGAAGAAATGAAACTGGAAATGTAGCTGTAAAAGTAATGGCTGATGGTGGACAGGGTTTTTTCAAAATTTGCTTAACAATTATGCCTAAAAATTATAATCCTGATGACAATACGATCCATGAAAATGAAGAGGATGAAGTGGATTCCATAGCCGAAAAGAAGAGAACTCTTTACAGTCAGGGTGGAAGCGTAAACAGGAAAGAAAATTGACTGGGGTGCACAGATTAATAATGCTGTGTATTGTGCCACAGATAAAAGAGACATATGAAAACATGGATTTGGTTTTTAAATTGTCTAAAATTAATAATGTTTCCTTCAAATTCGTCGCAGATTTTAAAATTATTTTAATAGTCAATGGTCACCAAACGGCAACAGCGTCGTATACCTGTCCGTAGTGTTTCATACCTTTAAGAACCTTGAGAGGAATTAAGGAACATCCCGTTGAGACTAAAAAATGGATACAGAAACATGTTTTTCTTCTGAAAGCTATAGAGAAAGTAATGAGGCTTGTGTTCAAGAAACATCAGCGAAATGTTTAAAGTTGAAAACCTATGGAGACTTGAGAAATAGCTACGAGAAATTTCGATCATTTGGAAAAAATAAAAAGTTTGCCAGAGATTGCCATATCACAATAAATCCCCCTTTGTTTCAAGAGGATGATGAAGTCCACGTCATAGAAAAATGTGTTATTCCAGAGCTACACATCTTGCAAGGGTACGTTAACCATTTATTTTGGAATGGATTGGTGCCATTATTAGGTCGCGATTGCAAAGAACTATCAAGGCGAAACTTTCGAAGGGAATGCATGCCGTAAGCTACTAAAAGAAGCAGATAAGCTCTTGGATCCAGAAATATAGGTTGAGGTAGGTGTATTTGGAATTATGAAATACGTGTCGGCGTTCAAAGCAATGAATAAAGTCGTCGAAAGCTCATTTTCTCCCAATATTGCCTCTCTTGAAATTGATGAGCGGATTAAGGCTTTACGGAAAGCGTTTGAGGCTGTGAGCGTATCCGAGAGCTTGAAAATTAACGTGTGACTGGAACGTATAAAGCATTCGCTGCATTTTTTGAAAAATGATAGGATATTACCTGGTGATTTCGGTTTGGGTCTTTGGTCGGAACAGGCAGGAGAATCGATTTAGAAGTATTGGGAACGATATAAAATGAATTCAATAGAAGATCCTAACTATCTAGACCGGCTTAAAAAAGCGGTAGTCGAATTTTCATCTCGACATATTTAAAATTAATTTATTTTTGTCATTTAATAATTAAAACTTGTTTTAGTTTATTTGCAACTGTAATTTGCTGTTTTTTTTGTTTTTATTATTTACTTTGTTTGAGTTTTTCTAGACCAATATAAACGCCACAAACAATTGGCTGTTATATTCATTGAGGATCTGATGCGATTTTGTTTTCACTCGATCTCAACTCCCTTAATGTAAATCTTTAAAGATCCGAAGCCCGATTTTGGTGTCATTTTCATGCAACCTTTTTTTCCTATACCTTAAGTTAATAATTTCAGAGATATTCAACAATTTCTAAAATTTTAAACAGTATTTTGTACCAAGAAACCTGTGACGGGTGAGTTGAAGGTGTCTATGGTTACCACGTAATCTGTCAATGTTTAAAATTTAATGGCGTCAATTTTTTGGTTGTTATAAACAATTTCTTGACTAATTAAGTATTTTGTAAACAATATTACTGATAAAAAATAGCAGTCAGTTACTTCGAAAACAGAGAAGAAAATATTACGTGTGAGGGGTGCTTTAAATTAACATCTAAAATAAAGTTATGCTAAATTAATTTTAAAAAACTATCACTTGAAATAAATTTATGAAAAAGATACTTACGAGATCATGATAATGTATTAATAAAAATGTCGAGTATTTACTGAATGTTTTCGTCAAAATCAATTATTTTATTTATAGTTAAGAATGTCATTAAATAACAAGATTTATAATAATTAATATTAAGTATGCTTCAGAAACCATAAAGTTAAATCCAATAGCTTTTATTAATAATGTAATGTAATTTACACAGTGCTATACTGATACACGTTACCGTTCTTAAATCTTGTATTTTTTATTAATAAAAACTGTAAATATTGTAGGAAATCCTGGTAAATGATCTGCTACAATATTCTGGTAAAATAAGTCGTATATTCACTTTGTCACTATATGAGTCGGAAATCCTGGTGAATTGTGTCAGAATCCTGGCAATTATTGTTAATTTTTTTTTCCGTGTACCGAGAATGGACATAAATCACAAAGTCTCCATGGAGAGGTAATCACAACTTTTTAAAGAGCGTGTTTCCGAAGACTATAGGGTGCGGCAAAACAAAACCAGCAAAGTTTTTTTAATTTAAAAAAAGGGCCAACAACAGTAGGCATAAAATATATCGATTAAAATGAAATAAAAAAAAGATTAGAGGAGGGGGCGTTGGAATTTACATTAGTAACGATTATCAATCATCCATGTTGCTTAGTGGGTGCTCTGTAGACATCGAACACATCTGGGTAAACATTCAGTTATCAAATAAAAAGTTTGCAATTGGGTCAGTATATAGACCGCCGCAGGGCAACGTGGTGAGATTCTTTGAGGCATTAAATGAAACATTGTTAGACTTTTTTACAAGAGATTTTAATATTATTTTGTTAGGTGACTTAAACATTAATTTATTACAAGTTACAGCAAATAGTGAAAACTTACACTCATTGATAGATTCTTTTTGTTTAAAACAGATTATTAATAAGCCTACCCGAATTACAGCCACATCGAATTCGCTATTAGATGTGATTTGTCTAAACACAGATGAGCTAGAACTGAACAACTATTCGGTTATAGAAAACAATATCTCAGATCATCAGTTAATATCATGTACATTTAAAATCGAAAAAGATAAAACAACTAAAAAAAATATCAAATTTAGAAATTTAAAAAATATTGACCTGCAAAAACTTAATAACGATCTTACCGCGATTGACTGGCAAATCCTATATAGAATGACTAACATCGACAATAAGGTTCAGTATTTTAATAAAAAAATTGTAGATTTATTCAATTCACACGCGCCACATATTTGTAAAAAAATAAACCAACATTCAAAGTATGCCCCATGGATCACAGACAATATAAAACTTTTACAAAAACTACGTGATAAGGCTCTTCTGAATTTTAAAAAAACAAAATCTCCTAACCAATGGCTTTACTACAAGGAACTTAGAAATTTTACCACAACTGCAATACGAAATGAGAAGAAAGCTTATATGAATTTTAAATTTAGAAACAGCAATGCAAAAAACCAGTGGAACGAACTTAAAAAGCTAAGTCTGAGCAAAAATAAAAATTTGGATATTCCAAATGAATTTAAAAATGTAAATAAATTTAGTAAATTTTACAAAAATCTTTACAATTATACTGTACCACACCAACCGGTTTTGGATTTTTACAATAGTCACAAAAAAAATAACTTTCCGAATTTATTTAACTTCATGCTAGTTGATGAAACATTGGTGGGAAACACTATTTGTAAAATTAAAAGTAAAGCCACTGGTCATGACGATTTAAATATTAATTTACTTCTTTTATGCTGCCCTAATATTGTACCGGTTATTACTCATTTAATGAATGTATGTATTGAAAATGCATACTTTCCTCTAGCTTGGAAAGAGGCATTGGTAACTCCAATTGCTAAAATTAGTAAACCTACATCACTAAATGACTTTAGATCTATATGCGTGCTGCCGGTTCTATCGAAGATTTTAGAAAAAATTATTGAAAGTCAACTTAGACCTTTTCTTGAGGGTCATGGAATATTACCTAAAAATCAATCAGGTTTCCGCCCTGGCTTTAGCTGTGCATCTGCTCTTTCTTGTATTACTGACGATATTATTAAAGCTTACGATGAGAATAAAGTCAGCATTCTTGTCCTTTTGGATTACTCGAAAGCATTCGATATGATCAATCATCAAATCTTGCTTTCTATCCTTCACTATGTAAACCTTGATTACAATGCAATAAGATTTATAAAATCATTTTTAAGCGATAGGAAGCAGAGAGTAAGAATTGATGATGAAATATCTGATTCAGAAGGAGTTTTGTCGGGAGTTCCGCAAGGAAGCATTTTGGGACCCCTATTATATATTTTGTATACATCAAACTTTTATGAATCTTTTAATTTCTGCCAATATCACGTCTACGCTGACGATACTCAACTGTATTGTTCTTTTAATGCAGATCAATTAAAACAATATGAAAATTATATTAATAGAGACCTTGAAGTGCTACTTAAAAAATCAACAGATCATCAATTAAATGTTAATCCTGACAAATCCTCTGTCTTAGTATTTGCTAATGATTCCATGCTTACTTTTATCGCTAGTAACCTGAAAATTAAATTAGGAGACATGGATCTTAAATTTGTATGTAATGCTAAGGACCTTGGCCTTATGTTGGACAGCAAACTGCGTTTTAATCTCCATGTTAACACCATTCTTAAAAAGAGTTATGGAAGCTTAAAATTGATCTATCCACATAGACACTACTTAAATTGTAAAACAAAAAAAAATCTGTCCGACTCACTGGTATTAAGCCATAGCAACTACTGTGACGTTGTATATGGACCAAATCTTGACAGTGTTGATATTAAAAGACTGCAAATCCTTCAAAACGCTTGTTTAAGGCTAATTTTTGGTGTCAGAAGAAGAGAGCATATCAGTCATAAACTTTTGGAAGCTGGGTGGTTGTCTATGATAAACAGAAGAACTTTACATATGTGTTGCTTTTATTACAACATATTAAAATATAGAAAACCAGCATATTTGTTGGACAAAATCAGGTTTAGAACAGACATACACAATTTAAATATAAGAAGAAAATTTATTTTAGATGTGCCTAAGCATAAAAAAGAGATCTACAAACGTTCATTTTCATACAACATATGCAAGTTGGTTAATACCTACAACATTTACGATTTTGATGCTTCTGTCAATACCTACAAGTTCAATCTAAAAAGTTTATTATTACAGAGCCAGTGATCTTACAACAGCAATTTTGTAATTTTGTTTTTCTTTATTATTATGTTACTTACTTTATATTTAGTTTAATAATATTTTTACAGTTTTTTGGGATGTTAATAATTATAATTATTTTTATTTGTCTTGCAGGGGACTGCGGAAGAGCAGATTCCAATTTATTTGGAAATCTGAGCAATTCTCCTTTTACCCAACTTTTTCACTTTGTATTATATGTTTTTTTTTCTTGTACTTGTTTTTGGGTAATAAATCTATTATTATTATTATTATTATTATTATTAATTAATAAATAAAAATCTTGTTTTTAAATGTATATCATTATATCCTTTCATTGAAAGTTGATTTATAGAAATTGCAGTAAGATTTTATAAATCTTATTTGTAACTTTCACATCACTTTCTTTTTGTTCTTTTTTAAAGCATGTTGATGACGAGGATTGCATAAATATGCAGTTCATAAATCTTAACTAAGTATTATAATGTTAACGTAGAAATTATAATCTTATTATAATTATATAATAAAAGTAGATACCTACTTATATTTAGTACAAATTTATAAATTTTATATTATTATTATAGAGTTCTTATATTTTGCCAATATTTAAATCAGACAAGGTAAATGTTAAGAATTACAGGCAGGTATGCATCTACACTGAGAAAAAGAAATATTTAATATTAAGAAATCAAAACAGTTGCGATTTTTTTAAAATATATGTTAACTTTTAAAAAATTTCTTAATCGTGAACAAATTATATTCTAATTATTAAAACATCGTCCGGTGA